TCCTCCCCTCCTCGCAGATCCAGAGCACAAATCCAAACAGCACACCATTCGCCTGTTGGCTTCCCCCTCCCTTCCCCTCACGCGCGCGACCTCGTCGTCGTCGTCGGCTCGGAGATCTCGCCTTCCCGCCGGCAGCAGCCATGGACGTCGTCGACTCCGTGGTGGACCCCCTCCGCGAGTTCGCCAAGGACAGCGTCCGCCTTGTCAAGCGCTGCCACAAGCCCGACCGCAAGGGTAAGGACCGCCACAAGCTCGCCCGATCTCCTTGTTTCGGATCCGGTTTGTTTCCGTCCAGATCTGACGCTGATTTGGCGCACAGAGTTCACCAAGGTGGCGGCGCGGACGGCGATCGGGTTCGTCGTCATGGGGTTCATCGGCTTCTTCGTCAAGCTCATCTTCATCCCCATCAACAACATCATCATCGGCTCCGGCTAGGTGCGAACGCGTCTCCTCCGATCCCGTCTCCCTCTTGCTTGCACGGTTTAGTTAGACTTGGTTCCTGTTGTCTCGTGCTGTGATCTGTTGGATCTGCGGTGTGCGCGCCTGCCCCCAGGGATTTTGCGGCTGCAGGCCTGCGAAATTGAGTTCCGTTGACATTCGGCTTTTGAATATGTTGGGTTTTAGCACATCTTCTTAGGAAATTCCTGCTCTGAGCAATATTTAGTATATAAGTTAGGTTTTAGTAGATCCTGCTAATTTCCTAGTTTGTTAGGAGAATTGTGATGAATTCAGGGTAGTCAGCTGTGGGGAACTGGGGGTTGACTCTTGACTTTTAAGTTCGTTTCAGTGTAATTTATCTGACAAGTGCGACCAGACAAATTGACATTCTGAATGGATTGTTTGTCACAAGTAATAAGTTGTTTTTACTTTATGAGTAATGTTTTGATTTGATAGTACTATCCTAAAATTTCCTCTTTCGCCAGATCTGACGCTGATTGGGCGCGCAGAGTTCACCAAGGTGGCGGCGCGGACGATGATCGGGTTCGTCGTCATGGGGTTCGTCGGCTTCTTCGTCAAGCTCATCTTCATCCCCATCAACAACATCATCGTCGGCTCCGGCTAGGTGCGAACGCGTCTCCTCCGATCCCGTCTCCCTCTTGTTTCCACGGTTTAGTTAGACTTGGGTCCTGTTGTCTCAAGATGTGATCTGTTGGATCTGCGGTGTGCGTGCACAGTCCTGCGATCTGACCAATATTTAGTAAGCTAGATTTTAGTAGATCCTTTTTTCCTCCAAATAGACCTGCCAATTTCTACCTTGTTAGGAGAATTCAGATGAGTCAAGGGTAATCAGCTGTGGGGAACTGGGGTCATGCGTAAGTCATTGCCGCTAGTTGCCTCCGCAAGACGAATTAGGGGCATAGGCTGGTTCCTCACCACAGAATTTGGGAAAAAGAGGAGCTTTTGCAATGTTTCGCTGTTTCTGCACATACCACCAGTTCGCCCAAGTTGGTGTCGATTCAGTGCATCTAAATTGGCACCTACTGAGTAGACAGGTTACATACCAATGTTTGTCCATGGTTCGTGCTATGTGTCGATGTATTCTTCATTCTTTAATGCACCTGTGTTCACGCATGGCCAGCTTTATGTATTCACAATATAAAGTTGATCTATACACGCATGGCAAGCTTTTGTAAAATAAGAAAATAGGTAGGAGTCAAAATATTGTAGGACACGTGTTATGCAGTGTTGATCTATACTTTAATGCACCTGTGTTCACGCATGGCCAGCTTTATGTAGCAGTGTCGCGTGTGACCTCAAAAAGGCTTTGAAAATCCTGATTGAAAATGAAGATGGTACTACTGATTCTCAGACCAGGAACATTGTGTTTCCTGAGCTCTTCCAATCCATTTCTTAGAATCCATGCTGGTGGTGTCTTCTACAATACGTGCATTATTCTATTTACCATGTTATCTATGGCCGACTAGTCTGTTCTATTTGTTTCATGTGGTCGTCCGATATGTGTGGTGCCACCTGCCATTTCTTTGCTAGCTGATGTCAATAGTCTTTTGGTTCATACAGCTTAGTGCCTCATATATGAATGCTCTTTCTGGGTTTTTCAATTTCTCTTCCCCCTATCTTTTGCTGACTACACTGATTATATGCCTATTCTACACCAATGTTGTTTTCTTATGCTGGTCCTATGTCATGGGTGTTAATATCTACCACCTATTTACTGCTTGTTATGCAAAATCTTTTGGTTATTGTAAATCATTCCCTGCTGTATAAAGTTTGGTTTTAGTCTGTAACATTTTGTTGGTTCCTATCTTGTCAATATATACAACAATATGCTTTCTTGGTGGCCATTTGTGCTTCACATTTTTTGGGTATGCTACTTCTCTAATGAGTGGGTGCATCTCTTCTTTGTTTATCATTCTATATTGTTTTCCTAACCTTTTTGGTATTCTGCTTTCTCCTTGCAGATGGAAAGCACCATTTTGTTGGTTCCTGTCTTGCTAATGTCTACAGCAATGTGTGCGTCCTCTGTCTCATCTGCGGCATTACCGTAGGGCAACTCATAATGGGCCTATCAAGCATACTGACCTTGTGATGATAGATAAAGAGGTTGATTTCAGTGCCATTCTGATAAATATATTTTTAGCCCTATGAATTGAAAAATGAGTGCTTCTTGGTTGTTTCTGTTGTTGGTCCAGAAGATTCTTGGTGCTTTTAGTGCAGTACTATACTATGCTCCTTCGCACTTCTTGCTGTGTTAACTAAATGGTTTAGTCCTGCGCTTCATAGAAGCAGTTTTAACTAAATGTAATGAACTAATTAAGTTCCTTCTTTTATTGTTGGCTAATCCTTTGGTTTTATCGCATGCTACATTTTACTCTCTCCATTCCTAAATATAAGTCTTTCTAGACATTTCAAATGGGCTACAACATACGGATGTATATGATGATATGCTACCACTCTAATAAGTCCAAGCACTATAAATCCTATGAACTTAATAATGATACTCTGCATGCTATGAGTAAAGTGCTCTATTTTCTTGCGTCACATTGTATGAATGAGTATATCATCTTAACTATCTGGGGACAAAAATCATTGTATTAGCTGAATTTGTGTTATCTTTCTAAAGAACTTGTCCTTTTTTTGAATGTTCTATTCATAATATATTGGCTCCAGTGTTTTGATTCTTCTCTTCTGATTCATGTAACAGGGCGATGGTCGAAGGCATGATGATAGTTCTATTGATGTCCTAGTGTAGCGAAGGTAGCCTAGTCGACTATGGTCGCGTAGTTAGTCATGCATACAGTTTCATCTGACTGGAGCAGGAGCCCAGTTTGTGCTGATTGTCAATTCTCATTGTGATTGTCCCTATATCTGTGTGACTGATTGTATTTGTATCTGTGTTGTAACTGTGTCATGACAGAAGGAGCCCAGTATATGTGTATGACTGTGATTGATTCTCGCTGTTGTTATTTGAAATATTACTTGTGTTTTCTGTCCGTTCTTATTTAAACATGGTTATTTATTTCTGTCAAATTGTAATCTGAATAATATGATGCTACCAAAAGGGTCCCACTTTAATAGAACCTGACAACTGGGACCCATCTGACTAGTGGACCCTTATTTTGGGAAAAAAGAAAAACTAAATTCGTTTAGACAAAAAGGCCACAACCCAACAATAAAAAGGCTGCAATATTGGACTTGGCCCATGAACCCAACCAAAAATTGACAGATAGAAAAAAACACAAATAGGCTGAATTGTTGGGCTAGGCCCATGTAGAAAATCGAATTGGACCGGACTGAATCTTGTGCCACGTCAGATTGCCACGCTGGATGCCTACGTGGCCTGGGGAGGTTGCTAGTGACCAAAATGCCATAGTGGACTTATTTTGGTCATAAACGTTTGCGACCATTCCAGAAGAAAGGTCGCTATAGTCAGTTTACGACGCCCAGCTTTTGACCTTATGTCTTTGGTCACAAAAAGGTCATAAATGGAAATTTATGACCATTCAGTGACCAATAGTGGTGGTCATAAGTTGACATATTTCTTGTAGTGTACTGCCGAGGGGCGGTACTACTGCCTGGCCGCCTAGCGCGGTACTACCGCACGGTGAAAGCGGTAGTACCGTGGAGGTGCGAATGTAATTTTTTACATCCGCTCCTACTACCGCACCCGGGCGGCACTAGCGGGTGGGCAGCGGTAGTACGGCTCCAGGGGAGCGGTACTACCGTGAGCACCAGCGGTACTACCGCGCGCCTGCGCGGTACTACCGTGGATGCCCATGGTACTACCGTTGCTCCTGGAGCGGTACTACCGCAACCACATAAGCAGCCAGACATCTGAGGCAGAAAAATGTAGGAAGCTCCAAGAAAGAAAGGAGGGGATACGAGGAGACGTGTACATGATGATTCCACCCAAACCTTTCCAACACGGACCCCCTCTTAATAGTACGGCTTTCCTACGACTCAAATCCACCAAAAGGAAACGTAGAAAAGACGTCGTCTTCGTCAGTCTTCGAGGGGCATCCAAACGTCTTGTGCCTAGCAGAGAAGAGTCTGGAAAGCTCATGGCACACGATTAGTCCGCAAATGTGTTGTCATCAATCACCAAAACACTTAGGGATAAATATGACCTTACACCGTTCTTCTCCGCAATTTTTACGTAGGCGCTACTCCTTGGTACAGATATATCCTTGATACCATTACCGGAGGGAATTTCTTGGGTAGCCATATTTTTTATTCTTATAATGCTATGATAGATTTGGAGCATGTAATGCAAAGACTTATATTATTGAAAATAAAGTTGCTACCGTGGAGTTAATTGAAAATTTGGATAAAAAGATCCACAACCAAATTACCCAATATGGATCTAAAGTAGGAGTCACTTTGAAAAATATTAAGGAGAAGGAACCCATAGTTAATGAAAGAATAAATCAGGATTGCACTAGAATCGATAAACTTGAGGGTATCATTACCAACTTGGGAACCGCTTTTTCTTCTGTAAAAAATACTCCAAGTCCTCCAACTAAAATTTCCAAGCTTATGTATGTTCCTAAAAATAAGGGTGAATCCTCTAGCAAGTAAACTGCGGATCTCAAATCTATAAGTATTCATCCCAATCTTTTTGCTATCATTAAGGAACTATTTGCTACAAATGAATTTTTTGACTTTGTGCCTAGAAGTTTGATAATTAATAAAAAAAAGAAACTCCTAAGGGTGATAGATGTCTCATTAAAGAAATGCCAACCAAAGATGGCAATACCTAGATCTATCATTGCTATTATGCCTAGATAGGGGCGTTAAACGATAGCGCTTGTTGGGAGGCAACCCAATTTTATTTTTAGTTTTTGCTTTTTGCTTCTGTTTAGGAATAAATCTTTGATCTAGCCTCTGGTTAGATTTGTTTTTATGTTTTAATTAGTGTTTGTGCCAAGTTAAACCTATAGGATCTTCTTGGATGATAGTTATTTGATCTTGCTGAAAATTCCATAACCTTTCTATTCACGCAAATAATTGTTAAAAATCACCAGAACGTGATAAAATATTGATTCCGATTGCTGCTGATCAATAAACAAATTGTATAGGTCGTCCAATTTTGGCTGAATTTTTGGAGTCCCAGAAGTTTGTGTTAGTTACAAATTACTACAGACTGTTCTGTTTTTGACAGATTCTGTTTTTCGTGTGTTGTTTGCTTATTTTGATAAATCTATGGCTAGTAAAATAGTTTATAAACCATAGAGAAGTTGGAATTGCAGTACCTTGAAGTGGTGTTTTGTTTTCTTTCGCTAACGGAGCTCACGAGATTTTCTGCTAAGTTTTGTGTTGTGAAGTTTTCAAGTTTTGGGTAAAAGATTTGATGGATTATGGAACAAGGAGTGGCAAGAGCCTAAGCTTGGGGATGCCCATAGCACCCCAAGATAATCTAAGGACACCAAAAAGCCAAAGCTTGGGGAATTCCCCGGAAGGCATCCCCTCTTTCGTCTACTTCCATCGGTAACTTTACTTGGAGCTATATTTTTATTCACCACATGATAAGTGTTTTGCTTGGAGTGTCTTGTTTTGTTTGAGTCTTTATTTGTAGTTTACCACAATCATCTTTGTTGTACACAC